TTAGATTTATTTGCTATTTCACGTCTCCAAAACGATGCAAAGACTTTATTTTACTTTAAACAGATTATTTCATCGAAGTTCTGTTATCTTGAATGACCAAGACATTTTTATGCTAGGAAGCTAAATCGAATCTACTGAGCTATTCATAAATAACTCCTTTTTTACAGAAGCACAATGGATATGGAGATGCCGAGGATTGAACCCGGGACCTCTCGCATGCGAAGCGAGCGCTCTACCACTGAGCTACATCCCCACTTAACGGGCATGTAATAGACTTACCTCCACGAGGTTTACCCTAACAACGCATACGCAAGCGACATAATAGTCTATAAACAGGCAGTTGACTTCACACTACCATCACTCAACTGTATATCATACTCCACCACTTCCATAGTACTCGCCTCACCTTTTTCACTACCTTTGCGTCTGTCTCTTTTACATCTATAAATTGCTCTTCTGTTCCCCCTCTCGACTTTGTGTGCTTTAATGTTCCTCCCCTCTGTGTGAAGCCCGATGTAAACTAAAGAACTAATGATAACTATCATAAAGCCTGCCATTTGATATAAATAAATGTTCATACTTGAATACGTAAAACCACAAGCTAATATTGATCAACCAATCAGTCAATTATATATCCCATTCCCTATTTTACATTAATAAATTAATCACCTCGATGGCTGGCCGCTATTTAATCGGTGAGTCTTCCACCTTCCACTTCCCCAAACCCCCCTCCTGAGAGGTTGTAGTTCTGTAAAGTGGAAAACCGACAATTTATAAAGCAATAAAATTGGTTTCATTAGATCTGAAAATTAGCCAATTGGTCACGAGGTGATGATAACATGGGCTGTTCATATATAAGGGAGATGTAACAATAAATTCAAACGAAAATTAACTCTGGTAATTGCCTGCTAATAACAAAAAAAGGAAAAGGAAAAGATCTTAACATTACCCCAACAGTAGGCTACAAATCAGGAGTGAAGTAATGGAGGAATTTAGATTATAAGTTTAGCAAATCTAGAGTCAAGTAATCCGAACATCGCATTTCTTGATTTTGAAAGTAAGCCATATAAGTTATTGTACTCAGTTGACCTATTTGTATGGTGATTAAGATTGAGTTCATGAACCATCCGCATGCCCAAAGCTACATTTCCATTTTCTAAGCAATTTGCAACTGTTCAGGTGGACACAATTTATGAACCTATAGTTCTTAATCACAAGGTAGATTTTTCATTCATTAAATTAGCCAAAAAGGAAATGCTAATATTGTTTTTGTTTTGTTGACCAGATTCGCATTCCGATTTAAGTTGTTATCAACACATTTCCATCAGTCGTTCCCTTTATATCAGTCTCATTTTCTGTAAGTCTAGATCACTATTTTACATGAACAGGAATTTATTTATTTCAAATGGCAGACTTTATGATATTTATCATTAGCCCTTAATCTTTGACTTCAGCTTCCCCCAAGAGGGGGGGGGTACATTTATAGCAGTTAATTGATAGCAGTTCGTTAGCAGTCTTCTTGCTTCCCAGTATCTTTGGCTTTCCGTCCTTGTCTTTAGAGCTGGACACCGAATCAGGTGGGTCTTCTCCATTTCCTCATGTAGGTTACATAGTGGGTATGTGGGTTGAGTGTATACTCCCAATCTGTGAAGATGTTTTGTCAAGCAATCGTGTCCGGTGCGTAGTCTAAACTCAACAACGGCTTCGATTCTTGGCCAGTCGGCTATGTCGGAGAGTGCCACTGTCCACTGTTTCTCCTTTGTTCGAGCTTTGAGTTCGTTGAACCTCGAGGTCTGGAATTCTCTCCTGATTAACGCCTTCATTGTGTGGAAAGACATCGGCCGGTCCATGCATTGCAAAATCGTTGTCCCCTTCTTAGCAAGTGTGTCAGCAATCTCATTGCCTTTAATGCCACAGTGACCAGGAATCCATTGTAGGACCACTGTTTTGTTTTTCTCTCTCAGCAGCTCATAGAGTTTTCTACATTCCTTTATCTCAGCTGTTTTGGGTGTCTCTGTTTCCAATAGAGTCTATTGATGACTGTGAGTCCGAAAGTATCACCGCTTTGGTGAATTTCGTATCCAGGCAACATAATTGGCGTAGTGCTATCCTAATGGCCTCTATTTCTCCTTCAAAAGCGGATCTATTATGTCCCGCTGATGCGTAGAAAGAGAAGAGTTCAGAATAGACACCTGCACCAACGTTTGCTTGGTTTTCTGTGTATGACCCATCAGTGAAGACTTGGAGCCATTGATCTGCAGGATAGTTGACATTGATTGTCTCAAGGGCCAGTGAGCGCATTTGCTCGGGAGGAGTGTTTGATTTCCTGAAGAAGTCGAGAAGTTGGGTGCGACACACTACATCAATGTCTGCTAATGGGTTCATGGGGAGAGAGAGGCTTTTTGGTTGATCATCGAGTTGTAACGCTTTCTTCAGTTCTATGGCTTTCTGTATTAGACCAGATTGCGTTTTCAGATGTCTTGGTCTATTCTCATAGGTGCTGAAGAACTGGTCCATGGGAATGCGCAGTAGTTTCTCATACAGGATCAAGGCCTTCTCTTTGATAAGGGAGCCTATTGTGGTGTTTCCTGTAACTTGGAGCATTGCATCAATGGGTGTTGATTTTATCCCTCCGGTAATGTCTACATCATAGGTTTGCAGGATTTTCTGTATTTGGATCTTTTTGTCCGGAGGCATTCCTCCAGCATTCCACTGGAGGATCTGAAGACATTGTGATTCGCCCTGACGAGGGAGATTTTTCTTATAGCCTTTTTCAAAGCCAATCATAATTAATAGAAGTCAAAAACGTATGCCGATTGATAGACTTTTTTGCCGTAAGAAAATACGTTGTCCAGGGTGCACCACGAGGAGGTAAGTCTATCGCGCACCGAATTAATGCAATTGAAATCGTGTTACGATTTTTGAGTTAAAGTGATCAAGGTCATATATTTATAGGAGCTTATAGCAGCAGACAAACATAGGCAGAAGTCAAGAAGCATGTTAAGAGTTGTGCTGGCCAATGCACGCAGAATAAACCATGATGTGTAATTGGAACTAGGAGATAGATAAAGGAGATCCA